GTAAATTTGTCTCAAATTGAACAGTAAAAGACTGAAAATGTACTGGTCAGTGTAAGCCTGAAGTACATTGAAATACCGTCTGCCCCATTTTGTTTTTTCTTTCCTACCGGTCTCTTTGATTTCATATATTTCTAGATATGTATGTGCTTCTACAGACTCTGGAATTTTTAAAGTTAGGTTTATAGCCTAATAAGTTTGTGCAATAAACAAATGAAGAAATGTACCAAGAAAATATATGCATACTAATAGCATGTTAATAATACAGTTTTTCTGTATGCTTTTATAATACTGTATCCTGATCTTGGACATCAATATATGTTTTAGTGTAATAGAGGAGCCTGAGGACACATCACATATGTTATTGCAAAATACCCTAGTGGACTTCCGATGTTTCACAACTCTGAACTGGATTTTTTTGCCATTACCGTCAAGCCATAGGCTGTATTATTTAAAATGGCTGTTCACTGATACACTTTAAAAAATGTGGACGTTTGTTTCAGAGCTCTGAATATGAAATCCAAATTACCAACACTTCCCTGGTGTTTTGTCTAAAAATTCAAAGACTTTTTTTGTTGACGTACGCATTGTGTGTGACCCCAGCTGGTTGGTCTGTACTTCCCATCACCTATGGTTTCCTTCAAACTGGCTGTGACAGATTCCATAGATTCTCCGGTTGACATTGTTTCTGATTATCTTTGCAACTAAGCTGCAAACTTAACAAATTTAGTTATACAGGAAAAAAATCACTAAAACCTCTTCAGCTTCATATTTGTGTAGGAGTCCATGTTGTTTGTGTGAAGTTAAGCTATTTAGGATGCCACGTAATGATTTAAAGTTAGTCTTGTGGGATGGTTAGTTAGTGTGTGCATGTGAGCATATGTGTACATAAACATGAATAACTTTGTTCTGTGACTGCTTGAAGCCGAAGATCATTTAAATTGAATTTTTCTTTGTGCATGCAAGTAAAAATATTTCGCGAATGCCAGGAAGAATAATAGTTATGTAGTGATCATGTTTTTCTAAATACGAAAAAATTGCAACACTGGTTTTTCTCCATGAGAAACAACAGTAGTGGTGACTGAGGGATGGAAAAATAATTTATGTAGAAGCAAAGTGCTTTTGTTCTAAGCGAAACATATGTATGTGCACTGACAGATTTTTATTTTGAATTTGCATCAGTGACGAGCATGCTCAGTTTGTGGTGGTTTTATATATATTGTGGTTCAAGCCTCTCTGTGAGACTTTTAAGAGGGTTTCTTTCCCATGTGCTTGGTTTTCCATAGGTAAAATGGGAGTAACGACACTGACCTCCTTTGTGCTTTGAAAGTACTGCTGAGAAACATTATATAAGAATTGAGTATTATTATACAAATCATTCTGAGTATTATTATACAAATCATTCTAGTTTGATCCATCTCTGCTGACCTTTTTTCATCCATGCAGTAAGATTACCGTGACTAGGAGGCTGATGGGACTCATTGTGTTCAGCTTACCACTGTACGCACTGCTGTTTTTCAGTGGAACATAAATCAGTGTAATCTTTTTTGTCCCAAATGATGGGCGTTACTAAGACTTGGCATTTATTTGGAATTTGATCACGTTTAAAGCCTTTACAATTGCTATGTGATAAAGTATATATGATTAGTTTGGTGATATTTCTACTTTAAGTTGAAAACAGAAATCTGTTGAATACTTTCTAGATGATCTACAGTATGACATCTACTTCCTCCTTGTACTTTTTCTGTGCTGTTTTATAAATAAGACTTGAAGAGATTGTTCCTGTTGATGCTTGCTGTTTTGTAATACTACCTTGCCTTCAAAACTTTAGAAATTACCAGCTCTTCAGCAAACAGAGCTGCACTAACCTCGAAAATTTGGTGTAAAATACAGCTGGTCATCTTATCAAGCAAGTGCCTGCTCTCAGAGCTGGTTGTACTTGTGTCGGCAGTTTCCAGTTTGTGGTGGTGGTTTTTTTGCGCTGGGACCGGTCCTGGCCAGCTCCAGGTCTTTGAGCGGCAGCTGTGTCCCATGGACCTGGGCTGCCCCTGCGCAAGGGCCGCGGGCAGGACGGGATGCTCTTGCAAGTTGGATTTCTCTTTGTTTAGAGAAGAGCAGTGACACTGGCGATACTGACTGCAAAATCTGTCTCTTCAGGTTGGGGTGCTGATGTGTTCTATTTGGAAACGCATTAACTTTTTGCAGCAACTAACTGAACCAACTGTCATGTTTGCTGCGAAGAGAGATGGGAAGGTGGTGTCTCCATCATTAAATATTTGGAGCAGTTGAGGTCACATGAGTATCTGGACTATGACACTATTTTTGAAAAAAAGAAAGCAGGAGGGAGGAATATTTTATTTGTAAGTGATAGAACTTTTTGTTTACCATTTTTTCAACTGCTGACAAACACACAGAACGACTCTTATTGTGAAAAATTCAGTTGCTCTTTCCTTCTGTCCGTGGTGGATGAGAGAGACCTCACTCATAAAAAGAAACTGGTCCCTCTCCATCCTATCTGTGTTTAAAAGTCTATGCATTGACATATTTATATTTACCCATAAAGAAATTTTAAAGGAGGGACAAGGCCAGGGAAACATTTCTTTGAAAACTTGATCAACTCTTAACATCATTTGGACACTTCTGCTGCCAAATGTGGGATTTGTGTAGGGATTAGAAGATTAAGATCTTTCTTACTGACAGTAACTCTAGCCAAAAAGACTTTTAAACATGTCATATGTAAGCAACTGTCTTTTTAAAATCGAGGTCAAGTAATTTGAATGACCCTTGTATTTACTAAAGTTGCCCTAATGGTGACCGTATACTTTTATCTAGGTAGCCTTGTAAATGAAGGCACGGTGCAGCAGTAGCTCTTAATTAGTGTTTTTTCCAGGGCTGCTACAGTAAATCTGGTGGTTGCGTGTGGCTTTGGCCATGGGTATTGTATTTTTAAGATACAGTTTTCAGAGAGTCTGCATGTGTGCGTGAGGGGAGGTACATACATATGTTAAAAACTATTGCCGGTGCAAATAGATTACAATCTACATGCCACACGTTGAGAAAGAAACAAACCGTGTGCGCAGCGATTGATGTGGGATGTAGACGCGTACATTTAACTGTACACCAGCAGTGCTAATTGTACGGTACGGTAGGTCTGACAGGTCTCAATCTTGCATTGTGAAACGTGACGTTACGGTGCCTCTGGCAGGCCAGGAAGTGCCGCTGGAGACGGCTCCGTGGTGTGGCCCTGTGGTAAGAGAACTGTAAGCCACATGCTGGCATTTCAGAATTTTACTGCACTTTGCCATGTGACCTTATGTTGTCGGCACTGGGGAAAGTAATTTATTTCTTGATAAGAAAAGGGACAAGGAGAAAAACCGTGAGAGCTGATCTTGGAGAAAAAGGGGCCAAAAGTTTCAGCTGCAGCAGAAAAGAGGAAGATTTCTGCAGCAGTACTGTGAAGTAACAGGCACGTCACTGATGACAACAGCCTGCGATGAGAGGGGAGATTAGGTTTTGATGAGAATACGCTAGCACAGCTTAGCAAATCCTGGGCAAAATCCTGTAGCAAAAGTAAAATTGACAAGTAACTGGCCAGTTTAGAGAACTATTTTGAGCTCAAAATGGGAACACAGTGTATGTAAATCATGAATTACTTTTGTCTTGTGCACTCTGGCACTACCTCACAAAAGGTGTTTCATAATAGAGCAAGGATTTACTGTGGCGGTGGGTTTGCGAGTGTGTTGGTTTTATAAGTTTTTTTTCCTAGGTGAGTTAGGTGACTGAATAAATTAGTCAATTTACTGAATAGAGAAGAAGCAAGCTGCTTCTGATGTTCTCAGATACAGATCTGCCTTTTGGAAAATTAATACTAAGTAGTAGTCTCACTCCAGATGCCAAAGGAATTTACACAGAACATTGGAACATCCTTATCTCAAATTGTAAATACTTCTCGTATCTGTTCATTTTTTATAAAGGTGGGACTTGGCGTATGTCTACATCTTTTCTACTTCCATGCTGTAGCTACAGAAGATCCTTTAAGTATTCATAGAATCATAGAATAGTTTGGGTTGGAAAGGACCTCTAAAGGTCATCTAGTCCAAGCCCCCTACCACGGGGGGGGGGTTCTCTTGATTATGTTGCTTCTGCTTCGTATCACAGAGAAGTTACACTGTTGAGTTTATGATTTTCCAGTCACCTCATGGCAGAACATAGGTGTACTGAAATAAAAAAAAAAACAAACAAAACCCCCGTGGTTCAGGATCAAGTGAGAAGAGAAAAGCGGGCAGTGGAGCGGAACGGGTTGTATGAGAAAAGACCAGGGAACAGAGATGTCAAACACCGAGTCAGCTTGGGACCATCTGGGCTAAGCTGAATGTTGGCCAGCTCCTGTGGAAGGAGGAAGGCAGGGCAGTGGTGAGGGCTGGTGTCTGCACTGTTCTGAAGGAACTCGTCACCTTAGATGCCTTCAGTTTCTGTCTGCTAGTGCCAGAGAGCATAAGTAGCTCTTCAGGAGCCAGTCCTTGTCCTTAGGCTCATGACCCCAGCTAGACGCAAGCTGACTCTGTGGATTACGGGGCAGGGGCAGCTCTTCCTTATATTTGATTCTGCCTCCAGACCCGCCACTGTAATTCCCCATTTTGAATAAGGCTGTGCATAAGAATGCGGGGAGGTATTTGAGTGATCGATTCCCAGCTCTCTTGCTTTGAAACTGTCAGAGACAGGAGCTGCTGCTGCCACAATGTCCATAGATAACTAAGCGTTCACTGCTTTGAGTGGCTTGTGTACAACAGTTTGCACACTCGTGGGCTAATGGTAGTGCTGCATGACAGTTTTGATTAAGACATTAAGTGTGAATTAATCAAGATTACAAGATACGATTTGGAATAGAGGAGGAGCAGCAGCATTTGTGAGGTACGGGCTGCGCTTCTTTGTGCGAAGGCATGGTGAGTTCGATCCGTAAGCAGACCGAGATCACAAAGATGATAAACATCTTTGGATGAGAACACGCTGGGTTAGAGATGGCATGGTTGGCTTTATCTTGACGTCCAGCTGCCTGCTCTGTTACTTTAGGTAAGTTGCAAAGGCGTTATTTACTCCATCTGTACAGTGATAGGCTGTGATAGGCTTACTTCACTGATGTTTGTAGAATACTTTAGTATAGTCAGATGAGGAACAGTTAAGGCTATGAAGATACATGGACACGTATTTTGTACACGTGCTTATGATTATAACTAGGATTTATGTGCTGACTTTCTAGAAGTATGCTCATTAATTTTAACTTTTAATGCTGAGGTATGGCAGGCTGTGCACTCTTTGTCTTAGACAAGAAGACATTGTTTCTGGAAATAAAATACTAACACGTAATTTTAAAGGTGAAATAGTGAAGGTGTAGTTTTGTGAGGTGTCCTTGTGACATCTGCTAAAAGGTCTGGAGGCTTTTATGGGAGGGTGTGCTTGCAGTGTACGAGACAAAAAAGCTAACCTGATTCCAAAACCTTAAAATGATGTGAGAATTTGCCAAAGTGTTATTCACAGGTTACTAAGGAAGTGTAATTTAAAACTCTCTTTTTACTGCTCTTTTTAGGTAATATTTCAATAATCACATTACCAGTTTCCAGCACCAACTCCCCAACTAAGATTTTGCCAAAAACCTTAGGACCAATCAATGTGAATGTTGGACCCCAAATGGTAAGTTTTGCAACTCCGGTAATGCTACACTTGTGTAACTAGCTGCGTGACTTCCTGTTGATGTAATATGGAAACATGAAAAACAAAGATGGGAACAGTGCTAGGAACTTGCTGCTTCCTGCCTCAGCTGCAAAGGCTGCTGAAGTGCCCCACCTGGATGGAAAGGTGGTGACGTGTGGGTACAGCAATCTTGACATACCAGATTTGCCACTCCCAACGATCTTATGTGACCTTAGGGGATACCTATCTTCCTGGCTTTGAATGGAAATTGAAACAGCTTTACCAGTTGACATTTTAACTATTACTCAGAAGTGTATTAAGGAAAAAAAAAAAACCAACTCGTTAAGAATGTTATTGATACTCTTTGAATATTTTGAGTCATGTTCTTACCAGCAAATCTCCAGCATTGCCAAAAACTGAATGTCTCGGATGTGTCGCTAGAGATTTAGCTTGTTGAAACTACTCTTCTTAAAACTGTCTTTTCCTGTCAATGGAACTGTATATGAGAGCATATTGCTGTTTCGGGGATTTTGGATCTGCTTTTGAGAAAAATTTTTGGTTTTCTGGTGACCAGAGAACTGAACAGGCAATAGAGTGAACTGTTTCTAGTAACCTGATGCCTACTTGCCACGCGCCTAGCCTAAGAACAAGAACCATTTAACGTGTTTATAAATAATTGTGGTGGGTCTTTTTCACATCAGAAGTTATTACTGTTGTTCAATGGCTTTTATCCCAGTTGGACAGATGGGCAGCAGGATTACAGCCAGGCCCCCCCAGGCTGCATCCGCCACTCTGTAGAGCTCTCCATCTGAAGTACTAGCCACAGGCTGTCTGCCAGAGAACAGCGTTCCTCAGTGCATCAGTACTCATGCGGGTATTGCTAGAGCATGTGCCCTGTAGCATTTCGCTGGAATTGTTCTACTACAAAAGATTTTTTTTGTGACTGCAATAAATAATAGCCAAGAACAGGGCAGAGCAGTCAGTTAAGGCAGTTCCTACTCTTAGGAGTGACTTCTCAAGGCCCTGCCTTTTGTTGAAATGAACCCTAGTTAACAGTTTAGGTTCTGTAGCAGGTAAAAGTTGCAAAAGCTACTGCATGGTGTGACACATACGTTTTATTTATTTTTATTTTTTATTCTTATTTTAAATAAATTCTTTATTTTAAATTTTTTTATTCTTTTATTTTATTCTGCTGTTTTGCAAGGATAGATCTATATTCAGAAAACATTTTCTTATTAAATAGCCATTAACACAGATCTCCTAAGACATCCAGTGTATGGCTGTGTTACATCCCAGACCATTTAAAAGAGAATGGTCACAGGTTCTTAACAGTGGGAATGTTAACACCCCTTTGGCATCTCCTATGTGTTAGCAACATCCTGCTGCCGCGAGGGGTTTTTGCCTTTACTTAACCACTGTAGGTTACAGCCCTTGCGTGTGCTCTAGGTCCTTCACACAAGCACACAGCCCCCAGGATCAGTGGAGTGGGCTGTTGACTGAGCGGTGACCATTGGTCTGAATCCCTTGGGGTATGGTTGTGCAAATGGTGAAACCAGCACAATTTGCAGGCTGGATTCTTGTGTATGGGTGTTTGTTACAGTTTCTTCAGATTCAGTCTGTAGGTGTAAATTTAACAGCATAAGTATTACTGATAAAATGTTAGTACTTAATTACAGGGATTTAACACATCCTACAGATGCTCTATTTGCTAAACTGCGGTGAGATTTTCTTTTTCCTTTTTATGCTGTGCAGTGAATTTATGTGATTACTTCAGGCACACTGGAAAAATGTTTGCTGTTAAGAGAAGATGGAATTAGTCCTCTGAAAATACTCGGTGTAGCATTTTTTGTGAAAGCAAACGTTCAAAAGTAAATTTAAAAGTGACACTGAAATAACACCGATTTGTATACCCGTGACATCCGTGTCCCCACATCCAAGAACTTGCAGCTTTAACAATAAGCTGTAGACAGGTGGATTTTTGTGCTTGTGCAACTACTGCCTGCAAGTGTCCATCGAACAGGGCGCTCCCCGAGCGGCGCGGCTGCCGTGGGGAGGGAAAGGGGTGCCGTGGGGAGGGAAGGGAAGGGGGTGCCGGGAGCGCGTGCTTCTGGTGTCTGTCCCCACTAGATGGCACCCAGGGGTAGAAAGATACGGGACAGGTCGGTCTTGGAAACACTCGAACCTGATGTTGCCACCTCAGTTTATTACAGTGGCTGTCGCCAGAAAATGATGAGGAGATGGGACATAAAATACTCTTTGATGACACGCTTGATCTGTGATTTACAAGACATCAGCAGAGCAGTGTGAAACCTCGGGGAGGGTGGAATGTGGTGAAATGCATTTCAGTGTGCAAAATATTTAAAATCTTTTCTCCCTGGCGTGTGTCTGCCATATGGTGGCAGAACCATGTGCTTACTGCAAATAAACATTATTTATAGTGTTGCAAGAAATTGATATAAAAAGTTACTGGATTGGATTGATGTTTAATTGAAGTACTACATTACTGATTCTCACTTACATACTGGTGTTACACCAGTGCTGAATTTAAGCAAGCTTTTAAAAATTAATCATTCTATCACAAAATGTTTCTGACTTAAAGCCATTGTAGCAGTAAGTTGGTAAAAGTTGATACCTTTCCTGTGCTTACATGCAGTGTGTAAAGCAGCCAGCCAGGGATCTTTTGTTCTCCAGTATCAACCAGTAAATATCGAACTTATACCTGTGTTTTGGTTTTCCTAAATTTCTGTTTTCACTTGTTTCTGTCAAGTTATCCGCTTGCAAAAATAAATAAGATGAATCTATGTCTTTAAGATAAAAAATACATGTATGTAATCACGGTGTGGTGTCAGGAGGGATGTGAAGTAATGCTCAGTGAGCTAAGGAAATGGGAAATTCTTCAGATACTGTTTTTTCTACTTGTTTAAACAATATTGATGGATACCAAACAAAGTATCTGCCACATACTTATATGGGTGTTGGGTAAGTTAAGTAGTAAAGGAAACTACAAAGTTTAATACAGTAGGTACTCAAAATGTCACTAACAAATGGAGTAAAGTAAAATAAAGTTTAAAAAAGCAAATAAGGTGTATGAGTAAAAAGCACTGTCCAAGAAGCTTCGGTATGAATCTTACCATACTGGAATCAAAATAATTTAACGTGTTTTATTTTAAAGATTAACTGATTAATACTGTTTCATTTTTAAATACTATCTAAATTCTTCTGATGACCTACTTTAAAGAATGAGCTTATGATGTGATTTGAAAGTTGAGACCAAGTGTCTTAGTGTTAGCAACCATTGCACATACAATTTCACCAGGTTTTAATAAATGTAAATTCTATCTATACTGTACAGACTTTACAGTTAATTCCATAGGTACAGTGTTGTATTATTAGCTTGCTGGAATGCCTTGAGATCTTGTGAGTGCTAGAAACTGCAGGGAATACTTTGCTTGCAGCTCAGATTGTCTTTGGTACTAAAGACAGACAATTGCAAGAGACAAATCTATTGGAAAGGAGGCTTTATTGATTACAGTGATCAAGAAATTGCCTAGACGTACTCTCGAAGAAAGAATTAGATGTATATAGGTACAGATCCTACCTGCCATACCTAGTAATTATTTCTATTTGTCTAGATCTTGTCCATATGAATAATACAGTAATATGGTACAATTAGTAGAAAACTTAACAGCATTATAATTACTTTCATGTGTGAAGATCTTCTGATGACGTCTTCTGTATATTTTGACTGCAGCTTGCAGCTGGTACAGAATTATTATTTTTTTCTTAGTACCATGCTTAGTATGAATTCTGGGCTGTTTTAGGAAAACCAAACCTCTGTTTTCTTAAGAGAGCTGTGTTTTTTATTTCTAAATTTTGTAGATCATAAGCACATCACAAAGACTGACCAATTCAGGGAGTGTTCTGATTGGGAGTCCATATAATCCAGCTTCAACAATGGTCACACAGACACACATAACGGAAGCTTCTGGCTGGGTCCCAGGGTAAGATTTTTGTTTTATTTAAAGATGTTTGAGGATCTGTTCTGATTTTTTCCTTTATTTATACTGTTGTATCTATATGTTGGCTTACGGCTTCTAGTTACTGCACAACTAAAAGGAGAATGCTCTTTAGCCTATCACGCACTTTGATGTCTGGAACATGTGAACACGAAAGTACAAGCACCAGTCACTTCACTGTTTTAATTTTGTTTTATGGCAGTGTCTGTTTCTTTGTGAAAATGGAGAGTCACAAATCCATGAGTCCTGTTAGAAGAAGCCTTTGTTTTTTTCATAAGTTCGTGGTATATCCAAGTAGCTTTGCTGTTGAGCGTATCAGCGGGTGCCAACAGGGGGAGAGACTATCAAAAATGCTTCCAGAGGCATTTAAGAATAAAGCTTTAATGGAAAATTTTGAATGTAATCAATGTTGTATTTTTGTTACTATTTTACAGTAGCAACAAGTTTTCATGGGGTTCTGAGGTACTCCAGAATAACATGACTATCTTTCTCTCTTCTAAGGAAATCTGGTCTTTACAGTATTCCATGATTTTTTTTTTTTTTAATAACAGTACTGCTGAGCTTATCTGTCTTAAGACAGATGTAGTGCTTTGCCTCTGAAAATTAAAAATTAATTTATGTCCGTATCTGGGTTAATTTTTCTAAACAGGTGATGAATGTCAGTAGTACCTTTCCAGCTTTAGAGGTGGGAAAATGGAGCATCTAGGACATGGCAGAAATGAGAGTATAATGTTTGTACCTTGACTTTCTTCCTTCTGTGCTGTAAGCAAGGACTGTCATAGGCTTGTACTTCCCAGTCGCTGTATTCCCACCATAGAGTCAATAAACTGCATGCCCAGCTGAGCAGTTTTTAAGCTTGATTTTTTGTTGAGTATGTGTCTATCTCCTCAAATACCTTTTGAGTCCACTTAGTTCTGATTTTATTTGAAAAAGGAGTTGTCGAAGATTACTTTGCTTCGGCAAATGTTGTGCAATGTGGAGGCCAGGCAGAAGCTCTTTCAGTACCCAGAGGAGGGAAAAGCTACAGTGTCTATTCACAGCTTGCCAAACCAGAGAATCAATGCCTGCTAGCTTTCTTAAGCTTCATCCAAACCCAGGTGATGGAGATTCCCAGAGAGAAGCCTAGTGGCAGTGCATCAACCACCACCACCAAGGAGAAGCACCATCCTTCTGTTTGTATACTGTCAAAATCTAGACACAGTATTTCCAATGAGCCTAACTATTGTTTCGCCGCTAAAAAGGAGCAAGATGTTGTCCAGACTGGCCGATCGATACTGATCCCTGCAGAAGGCTGTACGATAGGTCGTATTTTCATCTGGAGAACAGAGTGAGGAGGGGTCTGTGGTGTTGCCAAACCTAAGCAGAGAGCCCTTGCTGAAGACAGTTCCAGAGGATTGCCAAGTCCAGACTCCTTGCTTTACCCGTTGTTTACTCCTCTTCACAGATTCCAAATTGTTTCCAAAATCAAATGAGACAAGAGCATACCCATTCTCAGGGCTCCATACAACCTCCGTCAGCCTGGCTTACAGACCAGGGGACAGCTCTCCGTTCGCTGCCGCTCCAGCCCCCCGCCCCAGCTCTGCTGCATTCAGACCCCCAGTTGCGCAGCGTGAGCGGTTAAGCACCATGGACAGGGATTGCCAAAGACAAACCCCGCTGTTGCTGCCGAGGAAGACGTCTGCTGATGGGTTCTGGATCGCACAACCACATACGTGCAGGCTTTCATGGCACAGACCTTCAAATCCATCATTTTTGTTCAGCTCCCTTCATAAAGTTGTCAGGTTTTTAGCTGCATAAGTATCTGCTGGGAGCCCTGGTTTTGAAACTGCAGGGTAACAACGTGAAGTAATTTACCAATAGTTCTCAAGCAATGTGCGTTGTATCAGCTGCAAGAATAAAAGACAAGTTTGGAAAACAACTTCTGAAGTCTGCTTGCTGTAGCTAATAAACAGAACGATAAGGAAACCAGCAACGATTGGTGACTGCTACTCCTATGCAAAATTCACGTCAACTGCTTCTTCAGAGCATCTCTCTTCAGCTCTGTACGCATCAGCTCTAATACAAATGTTTAGTGTTTTACCTTGTTTTTTGTTTAAAGATACCAAAACATTCAATGTCCTGAAAATATAGGATATATCTTATGTGCTGTTTAAAGGCATTTTTCTTCCACATGGAGGAATTTTAAATAGGAATTTTCGAAGGAGCCCAGCTTCTCCTTTTTGATGGGATTTGGTTATCTAGCTCACATCAGCACTTCTTGTAGTTCCAGATGAAGTGACTTCCCTAAAATCATAAGGGCAAAGCATGGTAAAACTGGGAATAGAACTTGTCTGGCAGTGAGCTCAGACAGCCTCCAAAGTCATAACCACCTTTTCTCAAATTTTGTCAAGCTGTGTGTGTGCTGTTTTCCCCTTTCAGTAAACATGTAACAGCAAACATTAGTACCCAGCTAGGCCCCAAATACATTGATTTTGTTGGTCTAAATATATAATGTTATTTTCATCTAAGTTTGAATTGTCTTTTCTTAGGGACAGGAAGCGGACTCGAGAATTTATAGAATCAGATTTTTCAGAAAGGTGAGTATTACTGAACATATATATATATATTTTATGTTTACAGTCATACCTGTTCTACTTCTTCAGCTCTGCCCTTCAGAGAGGTGGGTGTCCAGTTCCCACTTTCAGCAGTTTTCACTCCTCCATGTAAAAGTTATGTTGTATGTTATTCTTTGTAGTTAGAATTCATTACTCTCTGCTTTATCACTTCCTGATAAATACATTTGCTGTTACAGATGATACTGGAGTTGTGAAAAAAAGCAACAACACATCTTCAGAAACAGGATTGTTCTAGTTTTCAATGTGACAAATTCTTATAAATAGATGATCTTTTCCTTTGCTTCTGAAACTTCTTTGAATGCATTCAAGCTGGTTTTATTTGTTTACCTATCAGGGGTTACTCAAATTGAATAACTGTGTAGGGATTAGGAGTGTTGTTTTTTTCTAAATCTTCTGGTGTTCCTTTCCACTCTTCCTTTTCTTCTGTCCTTCTTTCCAGTGTTCTGTTTTCTTCAATACATTCAAAATTCTGAAAAGCATTTTTGTATTTTAATGTTTTCCTTAGCTTGTTACTGTTGACAGAACTAGGCCTTTTTCTGTAAAATAATAGATCTCCCTGAAACATATTATCAAACCAACTTGTAACACTGTAATTAAAAAAAACCCAAAACCAACACAGCTGAGCTTTTTAAAGGCTTCTGTTGAAATACTCATCCAAATCTAGCTTGTGTGATAAAACCAATTGCTCCTGTTTTTTCCATTACCATTATCTAAGCTCTTGCTTTTCTGGAGGAAGAAAGTGAATGGAAAATAACCCTGACAGTTGCCGGTTTTTAATTTGGCACCATAAAAACCAATGAATATGTACTTACTCTCCACAAAAGAGATTCTTGTATCTCAGTCTTAACTATGATGGCACAGACATTAAACTTGGTTGTTAGGAGAATTAAGGCGCTGTATTGTAAATAGAGATGTCTGAGCCTTTCTATTTTAAGCACAAAAATGAGAGTTCCCTGTAAATCTGGCTTCCAGGCACACAAACACCCTGTGAGGTTTTCCCCCTTTTTTCGGTTGCTCTTTTGTGAAACTACCTGGAGATGAATTAAAAATCCAGTTTTTTAAGCATCTGCCCAGTAGCATGTGTTCAAATACTATCAATGTAGAAATCGCTGAGAAAGGGGAAAGGGCTCCAGTGTACTACTTTGCCAACTTGTAAGAAACAAGAAACTGATTCAGAAAAGCAGAACAGTTTTATTTTTCATTTAGGTAGTACATAATGTCATGAGTCCCGATTCCTGTTGCAAAAGGTAGACCTTTTGCTGTGTAACAAAGTAGCTTATTAACATTCAATGTATTAAAATAATTACTTTTCTCCTTCCAGTAAGAGAAGCAAAAAAGGAGATAAAAATGGGAAGGGTCTGAGGCATTTTTCAATGAAAGTATGTGAAAAAGTTCAACGTAAAGGAACAACTTCATACAATGAAGTCGCTGATGAGCTGGTATCAGAATTCACAAATTCTAACAGCCACCTAGCTACAGATTCGGTAAGCAAATATGTGTTGAAATTTGTTATACCATTGCAAAATTGTCTGGTTCATCTTGGAATTCTGTCCCTTTTGTTTCTGCACTGTCCTGCCACACATCATATTTTTCCTTCACTTACTTAACTACTTAGCAAATATAAAGCCTTACCCTCTGAAGTTTAAAAATATATAAAAATAAAGAATTAAAATGAAGAATTGAACTCCCTCTAAATTATAAACAAAATAGAGAAGTCTGCCAAAAGAATTATCTATAAAAAAAGGCTACTTTTGTACCCACCATATGTGGTCTCGTCGGGCTTTTCAACTGTAACAGACTTGCCATGATGGGAATTTGCTGCACAGAGGCTTCAAGCAGGTCAGAAGCTTCCATTTGCAACCAAACACGCTCATGTAGTATCCAAGTAGTATGAAGATGAAGGCATCGTGTTTTAATACCACTCTGACTTGAACTGCCATTTTGGGGTTTTATCTTCTACATATCTATGAAGGATGTGTTCAATCTTTTTTCCCTTTTTGAATTCTTTTGTTGTAATTAATGCTGCATTGTTTTCTTAGCAGGCTTACGATCAGAAAAATATTAGACGAAGAGTTTATGATGCCCTTAATGTCCTGATGGCAATGAACATAATTTCAAAGGAAAAGAAGGAAATCAGATGGATCGGCCTTCCTACAAACTCAGCTCAGGAATGTCAAAATCTAGAGGTAAAGTGAGGTAGATGGGAAATTCTGTATAGTTCACAGGTTGTGGTACTGGAGCTGCTCTGCTTTTAGAAGAGGGGTTTTTTCTCAATTTGAACCTGATTGGGTTTGATTCTTGCACACTATGAAAATGCAACTTTTGATATTTGAATAAACTGACAGGGATATGTTTATGTATGCTTAGTTCATTTTTATTTAGTATACATTACATGAAGTTTAAAAAAAACCCTGTTTACTGTACAAAAATGGACATTGATTAAATCAGGGATTACTTTTAAGATTAAAGTCTGTAGTAGCCTAAATTAACCAGAAGAAAGTCAAAAGAATTTATGGTGCAGTTATGCTTACAAAATGGTATACATCTGAAAGGAGACCAATTTTGTATTAATGTCTGTACTTGGAAACGCCATTCAAAGGAAATTAAATTGAAAAATAATTCCTGCTAGGATGTCAAATAATAGTTATGAACTGGCAGGGGAAAAAAAATGAAGTTTTACTTACTGGCTATTTCCATTATTTTTCCAGCAGGCTAAGAGTTACCATGTTTTTGCAGGGATGCCAGAATTTATATGCACAGATGTTGCTTGTCCTTCAGGCCAAATGCTCTATAAATAAAAAGCACAAGTTACTGTATTTACTGCAGAGTGCTGTAATGACTGTCTGTAAATACATCTTAATAGGCATTATATTTGTGATACTTGTGACATTAAATATCTTAAAAGGTGGCTGGGGTGCCTCTCCAGTACAGAACAATTTTTTTTGAATGCAGGTTCATTTACATCAATTGTCTTTCTAGATGTGGTAAGAAAAAAGCTTTTACTGTCCTTGTCCATTACAGCAACTTGGAAAATACATCCACCCAAGGAGTATGCATATGCTCAATCATTATACTCCAGGATACTTTTTTTAAAAAAATTATGGATAAATCTACATTTTACATGCATTCATGTGAATGCATTATTTTCAGTATAGGTTATTGTTACAAATAGGGAACTTGAATTTCATTGTGTCATCTACAGTGATCATAATCCTATTCACTGTTTCAGGCTCTAATTACATATGTACAAACTGGAAACCAGGCATATTTTCTTAAAATGTTGCTTCCTATGACATAATAGAAAAGAATAGAAAATAAAGCTGTATTTTCTTGGTGTGAAAATCAGAATTAATTTTGCTTTTAAAGCTGTATAAAGTGTCAGCTCTTCTTACAGTGTGATTCCATAATAAGATTACCAGTGCAAAAGTGAGGAATTGGTACAAAAAAGCTTGTTATATAGAAACCATATCTAAATTGTAGCTGTACTCTTCATTGGTTTTGAGAGTTACATATTTGTGCCACCAAAGGTCATCTACTGTGCTCTGAAGCAAGCATTTTAAACATTAAAGTGCATGTGGGGGGAACCACCACAAAGCAACATTGTAAATAAAATAGGGGGTTTTAGGCCAGCTAAGTTTCAAAAGACTGCATCATTTAGTTCCAGTGGTTGAATGAAAAGGTAATTTAAGAGTTTAATATTTTTGGGAGCCGTGATACAGTGCTGGCACCAACAGGATGATGAGGAAAAACAGCTTTTAAACATGATGACTACTGTCCCATTCTTTAGTGTTGCCCCAGAACACTGTTTAAAATACTGTTGATTGTATCTGCAGTGTCAGTAGACATCCAGTACTATTGCTGACCCAGACACTGCATACTTAGATTGAAGATAGCTTTGCCCCATAAACTGGCATTAACAAAACTGTTGCAAGAAATGGATTCTGTGCTCATGTAGAAAATGTTACCTCTACCCCCTTTCTGTTGATGAAATCTTGTTAGTTTAATCAAGTCTCAAATGAGCAGTCCAAACAGAAAGTGGAGGTCACTGGAAAGATGCAGGTGATGATCCTGAGCCCAGTCTCCACACATTTATGTTTAGTAGCTTGCAGCTAGGAGAACAGTGGAAGGGATGTGCACAATTCCGAAAGAGTGGAGGGCAGGAGGAAAAAAAAAAACCCAACCCAAAGCACCACCTCAAGCAAATGTTTAATTTGGTGCTAATCGGCACTCAGTGCACAATACAAAAGAGGAGGAATGGGTGGGGAAATAATACAGTCTCTTGTAATAACTGATACTTTACAGAAGCTTAAATTGTTGACAAAGAAAGAAAATTACAATTTGTCAGACCTGTTTTATGGAGAAACTCATGTGACTATGCGATTTGTCTGTTTGAAAAAGAAGAAAATATATGGCAAATGGGTAGGGCCAAAACGACTTGTGCAATTTACTTACCACGCCATGGAATTCACCACCATTTACAAAGAAAGTATGGATTTTTGTAATGGTGCTAGCACACTAATGTAGCTCTAAAGCCTGTTCAGTTTGGCACAATGGAACAGACAAGGTAACTAAGTAATCATCTTGATGGATTTACATTTATATTTTAAGATAGAAAAACAGAAGCGGATTGAAAGGATAAAACAGAAGCGAGCCCAACTACAAGAACTGCTGCTGCAGGTATATTTAATTTTAATTATTTTTTTCTATAAATGAAATTATCAATTGCAAATCCAACATGTTAGAACTTCTGAAGTTCTTTCTAGATTTATTTAGCAGCTATGATATACTAGGGAGAAAAGTTTCTGGATTCTAGTAGGGGGACCTCTTACCCTCCACTTTCTGGTTTAATTTCACCTATTGTAAAACAGCGTGCCGCATCTGCGTGCCACAAGCTTTTGGAAGTGTTCTGCTGAAGCTTTGTCAACATCAGTGGGAATGGGAACAACTCACGAGTCCCCTTTGTTGACTACAAGTGCCCCCAGAGTTACCTTCTCTGAGTAGTTCTTACGGGAAAATTTCTCTCCGATTCTAAGCTATGAAATTTACAACTGAACTTGTGTAAATATGTACAGAGTTGTTTTGGGGGAGATAGACATTTCTGGATCCAAAGAATGGGAGGCTGGCAAATCCAGCTCTTTTACATTCTGACATGCACCTTTGAGATGACTTGACTTTTGGCTTTGATTGCAGAAATATATTTCAAATGCATCTTTGCTTATAAAGTAACATTTTATAAATACAGTTATGAGCGTTCTTAAGTGTTTTGTTCTGTGCAGACTTTCAGTAATTTAAATGCAGTCAAACTTTTTTATGAGGTTACAGGCAACAGGCTGTATTTTTTTTTCTTGGTGTAACAATATTGATACAATTTTCATGTAATTAGATATGCGCTGAAACTTTTAAATATCTGATGCTTCTCCTTTTTTCATCACCAAAAACTGTTTCTCTGCTTAGGGCACAATTCTGATTCTATCTGTCTGACCTAATAAATTAGCAGCTTCTCTAAGAGTAACATGAAATTATCCTGGTGAAAATAAGGCAACTCAGGCCCTCTTAACTATTAGTCTGAAAATGACAGAGTTGCACTCCCTTACTGTCTACAACTGTCATTATTTCCTTGATTACGTTCATTGTCAAATGGTTTACCAGTCCTTTGGGATTCTGTCTATCCATCTTCCCCTTAAGTGGAATAAGTAGTGCCTCAAAGTGGGATAAGTACACTGACTTCCAATCCCTCAAATAACATTTCCTAAAAACACACATTTTCATACATGTACACTCAGATATAAGAATTCAGTGGGGAGCGCGTGGTGTCACGAACGGCACCTGTTTAAAAACTAGCTCTTTTGAGAGAGAAAAGAGGGTGATGGATGAGAAGGGGAGGAGAATATGGACCGTGGGAAGTGGGGGAATGCTGTAATTTCTGTTAACTTTTGTTTCAGTGTAACTAGCTCCTAGTCTGAGGTAATTATGCATATAAAATAACAGAGAAGACCTCTGACTCCAGTGCCTTTTCAAAAGGAGTGGGGAACCATTCTCCACCAAGCTTTATTGCTCCTTTCTTGTTTCTTCTCCAGGGATTGTGAGGGGGGCATAGCCATTAGGATACGTGTGAAAAATTTGTGTTTAACTTCTGTTCCTGGTGAGCTTCACTAGTGCAAGGAGGAAGTCAGGCCACAACTTCCTTTTTGACAGAAAATTACTGGAGGTATTGAGAGTTGGTAAATAAGAGCTATGAAGTTCCACTTCCTGGAAACACTGATGCCTTCTCTTTTATTGTCAGTGATCATTTTTTCTTTCTTTCTTTCTACAGCAAATAGCATTCAAAAACTTGGTACAAAGAAATCGGCAAAATGAACAACAAAATCAAGGCCCTCCAGCTTTGAACTCAACAATTCAGCTGCCTTTCTTAATAGTCAACACTAGCAAAAGAACAGTTATAGACTGCAGCATATCAAGTGATAAGTGAGTATTTATGGAATCAATTTTTTAGAATTTTATTTTCTTTGTGGACTGGAATTTTTCTTTGAACAAATGAGAGAAATTTTTCTAGTTTACTAAAAGTAATTATGTATTTAAATTGGCTACTGTGACTTCAGGGGGAGTGTTTTGTTTTGGTTTTTTCTTCTTTATATTTAATGCAACTGCAGTAGTAATAGGAATAAGTTTATCAACATTGCTTTGCAACAGCTAGTGAAAACAGGCTGACTTTCACTGTTGTAAAAGGCACTTCAGACTGACATTTCAAAGAACATTCACTGCACAGGAGAAATAACTGAATGAAATTATATACTAGGACAGCACTAGCTTTTAATGAACCCATGTGGTAGTGCTTCTGAATTCTTATTCCTAATATGCCATAAATGTATTTAGTCAGAAACACAAGGTGATCCATGTAACACGAAAGTAACATCCTAGAGGTGATAATAACAACTTTGAAAGTGTCTTTTAATAGCAAAAATGTTGCACTTAGCTCTTTGAAGGAAAAAAGGAAGGAAATTATACAGACATTTGAAATACTGTCTTTGTAAGCAAACTGCTATAGTTGCATTCTTATATTAATCTGAAAATCTTCCACTTACGTACTTCTGGGTGCTTATGCTCTTCATCCTGTGAAAATATGGTTGAAAGTATGAGGTACTGTTACGTTAACTGTTTATTGGATCACAACTAGTTTATCAGCTGAAAATAGCTGGTTGGCTTTGCTTTAATACTGTAGATTACAGATTTCACTCTGTGGTATACAAATCCCATATTGAACTTCAAGTCAATTAACATATAGCAGAAATAGACAGTCTCTAGTAACCTAAGCACCAACATGCAAAAAAACAATACTATTAGAAGTTGAATTTTGGTAGAAAATTGGACTGAAGTCAAATACAATCTGTGACAAAACTTTTGGAATACTCCCATCAGCAGGTTGGGAATTTTAGGATCAATATTGATCTAGCTTAACTTTACCCTTATTTTATAGGCATACTATACAGTTCTTACTGCACTTTTAAACAGTGCTCTATATTTAGGTTTGAAGTTGTTAAAAAGTTGAACAATTTCATACTGAAACTTCAGAACTGCTGCTTTGAAGTTGTCAGAGATTAAACTGGCATTTGGGATCTAGAAAAGTGTAACATGCTTCTACAATCTCAAACTGTAAGAAAACACTACTACTTAATGAGCACACCAAAATTATTTAAGTTGTTGATATTTCAGTTTATATAACCCAGCTTCAATATTACTGTCATCTGGAGGATCATTAAGTGTACAACCCAAATTAAACAAGATTTCCACTGTGGTTATTACTTGTGCAACTGATTAGTGGCAGCAACAGTATGTAGATAAACAGTGCCAGAAACTGCTAGTGTTTAAACCACTATTACGTTGATCTGCTAAATAAGGCAGTTGGCAAAAGTGGTCACTCAGTTTGGAGAATTCAAATTCTGTAGTTTATTGGAGAGTATTTGTGCTGCCTAACCCCATTACTGGTCAACTTGAGTGCTTGCCCTTCACTTGGTTTCAACCTCAGTTAATAACCCACTGTTGTAATGGGCTCCCATTTTCTTTTCTTCTCCCAAATAATGTTTATATAAAGCATTGGTTGGTTGGTACTTATGATGCAACAGCAGGTGATGTTGGAAAGTCCGATGAACAGATAAGCTCACAGCATTAGCTACTCAACATTGTATTTACAGAGGATCTTCCAAAAGAAAATAATTGCTTGGGAAAATGGTACATATAAGGGGGATTTAGCATCATGAGGAACATAGGTTTGTGTCTTCTAAGTTTTTTCCTATGTAAGAACAGGCTTTATCTAGCCAAAACAGAATGAAATTTCTCACACGTAAAACAAAGAGGTTATTGGGCAGGTTTTGTTTAGAGTTTGAGAAGGCAGACGGGTGCCAAGCTGCATACTGGGAATGACATTTTGAAGTTGGAGTAAAGAAAAGCAGAGTCTTCAGATAAAAAGGAAGAAATTAAAAATTGTGTTGAAAAGATGAGGCACCTGAACAGGAAAAATGTATTTAGTGTATATGGTGCTTCTATATAAATGCTGTAGGTCTTAGGAAAAAGAAAAAAAAAAAAGGAACCAGAATACCTAGTTTTAAACAAGCATTCAGACACAAGAGATGTATCAGAAACTTGGAAAATTAGAATATCTCTATTCTAATAGGAAATGCAGATGATTTTGCCATTGGAGATGCAATGCTATACATCAGCGAAAACGTGTAGGAAGTAGACTTTTGTACCCTTAGAGAAAGAATTGCCTGCAAGAGCAGAAAATCCAGATTAAATTCATTGTTGATCAAATTTGCACTTACCATGGGAAAGGGACAGCAACCGTGCCCAAACTTTGCGTACACAGTACTGGCCTCTGGACCTAGCTTTTAGCACTGAATAATAAGATGGAAGCCCAGTAGATCATTCTGTGAGAACAAAAGTTGATTTCTCAATAACGGCCAAAATAATGCTGGGAATTATTAGGAAAAACAGTAAGAAATACAACGTAAAACTAGGTACATATAGTGCTTTTATATCTGGAATACTATATGCTGTCTTGTTCTTGGAAAGAGCATAGCATAACCAGGAGAGAGACACAGGAGGGCATCAAGAATGGACAGATGGACTCTTTGGCCTAGAAAAGAGAGGACAGTGGATTCACAGGTGTCTATAAAACCATGGATGACATGGGGAATGTGCATAGAGAACAGCTGTACACAGTTGCTTATTAAAGTTAAAACTAAGAGACACTAAGAGAAGATACCAGGAGACAGGGTTTAGGCAAAACGAATGTAAGTGGTTTTGTAACAGTCTGTGCAAATCATAGCATTTGATGTTGTTTGTGCCAAAAGTTTATGTAAGTTCAAAAAGGGGTCATGTCACGTCCCTGAAAGAAAACCCTCAAATAGCTATTAATGGCAAAGGTAGAAGTGTAGGGACTTCTGTGTCAGAGGCTGCAGGTTGCTAGAAACTATACTGGAGAAATATTACTGTGAGTTTCTTTGTTTGGAAACCTGGGGGGGAGGGAAAGGAGTTACGCTCCTTTCCAGCATCCAGTACTTGACCACAACACATGGGAGGAGAAATGCAGAGCTATAAATAAATACAGCCTTTAATCCTGTACCATAAAAGCTGAATTCAGTTATTACTTAGTTAACTACACAGCTTGCTGGTAGTAACTTGATACGACACTGGTCTCCCATCCCCTGTTTGTGTAAACATAGTTACATGACTTTAGCCGCACCAGTCTAGGTAGCAGGAATGTAATTGTACCAATTACAGGGTATAGTGACACATCTTATTTTCCCTTTTAATGTGGTTACGCTTAAATAAATATAGCTGCATAAACAATAGGTTTTACAAGTAATATCGTATGAGTCACAAAAGAAATTATGCCTGTAACTGACAGTTACACCTAGTACAAAGCATGTAGATTTCTAAATGAAAATTTTGTGTACAGGCACAAAAGACCTAACTTTTCCTGACTTACTGGATCAGGTATAAGAAAATGAGTATTAAAAAAATCTGTCAAGAAAATCCACATGTGACACAAGCTTGGAGAGCTAATGGAAGACCCACCCGTGAGTTATCTTTTAAAGATCCTATCTCACGGATGGGTTGCTTTTCCAGGGATAAAGGTTTCATCAGCAGAAAATGAGGTACTGGGAACTAGCCTTATATTGTAATCCCTGGACCAGTGCTGTCCAGGCTTTTAATAGCCTGTGGTCGTAGCATAAGGCCAGTCTAGATGCCCCTGCTTTTCTTAAAGCTATATTAAGTTTATATTGCTGTTTCCACTTTTATATGCAGTGAAAAACATTTTGAGAGTCCTGCAGCAGAAATGGTAGGTTGTGAACATACAGGACTCTGAACAGACTGCTTTGCTAGCTGCATCCAAATGCATCCAAAAAAGCAAAGTTATACCAAGGTAAATAGGTCAGTTCACAGGAGGAGTGTTGCACATTAGAACAGAAAGTGAAATGTAAAAGAAGCAAAACCAAAACAGTTATTTTGGTGACAGGGCTGCAGGTGACCTTTAAAAGTATTGGATTTAGTACAGGTGAAGGTTCATGTTTAGTAAGGCCTCCCTCTTCCCTTTTGAATCTGTTTAATGAGGTAGAAAATTTTAGACTTTCTTCCTGCAGTGGTGAAGTTACTTTAATTGAGAAGGTGCCATTTTAAACCCTGTAGGCATGCCAGTCACAGAAGCAGAAGAGCAAAAGCATTTGCTGCGCTTTTTTTTTCCATAAGGACTTTACAGATAATGGAGAATATAGACACTTACCTCAATGCATACCAAAAAAAGGAAAAATAGGCGAAAAAAGCATAGCTGTGCTGTTTTCAAAACAATCTCACTTTGACTTTTTACATGCAGATTTGAATACCTCTTTAATTTCGATAACACTTTTGAGATTCATGATGACAGTGAGGTGCTGAAGAGAATGGGAATGTCCTTTGGGCTTGAGGCAGGCAAATGCTCAGCTGAGGACCTAAGAACTGCAAAATCACTGGTGCCAAAAGCTTTAGAAGGCTACATCACAGGTAAGTTAGATGAGACTTTTAAATACTGTTCCTGATCGAATTCATAACATTAGTTAACTGAAGCAAATTTAATGATACTAACCTACATAGGTATGTAACATTTGGAGTTATATGGGAGCTAGTAGGGTTGGTACATAAATGACTTGTTTTACAGTTAATTTTGGAAGGTTTATCATAGTTGTCCTGTAAACTTAATTCACACTGATTTATAACAGCAAACTTCTTAAGTGAGCTGCATTATGAAGAAATTATTTCTTAAATAACTAAATTGACACCAGGAACAGATTTTCATGGGTTAACATTAATTTTGAATAACTGTGGATGTGTGGAGGAGCAAACTGTGGAAGAAGGCAGCTCTTCCCCAGTTGAGGAGGAAAAGGGAAGAAAAAGAGCATCTTGAACTGGTTGAGTGTAATCCATGTGTGACCCAGCTGCATTCGCACTTTACTTTGCCTGAGGTAGGCGAGCTCTGCTAAGAATTCTCCGTATCTCTGTCCATGTAGACATGCTCAGTGTACTCTCGATACATGGATGGTAGGCTCTCTTGTGTCCAGTCATTTCCACGCTTACTTAACATGTAAAACAGTGGTACGTAGATAAAACACATGGCCAGTAGGTGCCATCTGAGAACTGAGCTTCTCTAAATAAAGCAAGAGGCTCCAAAGAGTTCCAGGACAGGTGTCCCATGCAGAGGCTTTTACCTCCCCTAGTCATACTGTTTGAACAGGTCACACTTAAGTAGACTCAAACCTAGACCTCCTTCAGTGTTGCATCACTGGACTAGAGCTGCTAAAATTTGTAATCACTTCCTTTAGTTATTGTCAGACTGCATTCTTCTTGCTCTACCCAAAACTTAAACTTAGCCCAACATTTTCTCAAGTTTCTGGAGGGACTTCATCTGTAAAGGAAGTGTTACCCAATGAATTGCTGTATACAGACCTTCATTTTTGAGGAAAGGGGGAACAAAGCTATTGCCCTGACTTCTCTACTAACTAGGCTTTGGTCTTGTTTAAATTAGTAGTATAAAGTAGTATAAAGTAGTATAAAACTGTGTCTTTCACACAGGGAGGTTGGAAACTTCAAACATTTGACTTGTTTTTTTTAAAACTTAGAAGTTGATTCCCTTCTGTTGGCAACATTTAATCTTCATGTCAGGATCTTTTAAAGGCAGGTTTTACATTAAAAATGCTGTTTTGTTTTGCTAAGAAGAATATAGTTAAGTAGTCAGGACACTGAACTTGTAGTTTTGTATTCTTGATTTTACTAAGTGAGAGAATTAAGAATGAAACAGTTTCTTTAAATTTGTGATGTCAAAACACTGCTGGATATAAATTAGAATTCAGTTACATTCACTAAAATTCGTACATTTTAAATGGCTTAACATTTCAAACTACATCAAATGTGCTTATGTTTGTGTTTTCCTGGTCCCCTTGTCCTGTGGGTTTTAAAACTAACATTTCATATTTTAATTTCAGTCAATTTTGAAATTACACACCAAGTCTTTATAAGGCTGCACTGGTGCCAAAGAGAGAAGTTGAAAGACATCTTGATTTGTTCCTTGCAGGTTCATTCAACTAAAATTTTTTTACCACGTCATTTACCACCAATGTAAGAAAGGGGAAAGGAGCAGAACCCACATCTTTTAATAGTGTTGCAGTCTTCAAGTTACTTAATTGCTCCCATGTATCGAGAAGCAAACTAAAATTTCTATTTCATTTTAAACCAGCATCAATTTATCTTCAGAGAAAAATAGGGTTTCTTTACATTTGCAAGAAAACTTGTGTCATTACACTATTTACTGAGTAAAACCAGCTTTTAAAGATTAAGCAATAGAAGTACATGTCTAAATTAGTGATTAGTAGTTCACTTTAGTTTCTTTTGAAAAAAATTCAGTCACGCCAATGTACTGCTGGTGGGATTTTTTACTGGAAGCATTAAAGGCAAAACAACCGTGATGTTCCTGTGAAAGTGAGAAACAAGTAGTACTCTGTTTCAAAGAAACTAAACAGAAAAAAACAGATTCTAAGATTGCTTAGAATCTAAGCAAATCTAAGATTTGCACAACAAAAGAATGTTGTGATGAGGGTTGTTTTCCTAGTAGCGGACCAGCAGGCAGAAACCTATCTAGAATTTTAATCATAAGAAATGTATTGATTTTATTTTTTACTCAAAATGAATTGAGGCAAGTAATGTACTCTTCAGACATGAGTTACATTCAGCTGTTTCAGCTTCTGAAAAAATTAGTCCAGAACTGTTGTTATTAGAGTATGTACATTTATTTTAAAGGTTTTTTCTGTCTGTTGCTTGCTACTTAATTACACAACACAAATCTACAGTTTAGACTGTGAATTGCATAGTAGAGGTTTCTAATGGCAGTAACTGACAAATAAGGGAAACATTTAAATGTTTTGCACAATACTTGAAAAACTAGCATTCGCCTGATTACGTATTTTCAGTTAACTGTAACTTCCCATTTTAACCTTGGCAGTCTTTAGACATTGTTTCATACACTGCAAGAGTAGTGAAATGGAAGGCTGATCACTGGTTTTTAGAATTCAGAGTTACTTCTGTAGCTCTCATGATGGCACTTTTAAGTACATTGGCTTCAATCACTACTATACAAGAAAAGCAAATCAAGGTCTCTTATTTATTCACTGAGTAAATTTATTACAATCAAGATTAAAGCTCTCCCACACTAGCTGACTCCATGAACTCAACTGCTGTAGAAACCAGTCCTGTTCTAAGTAGGTAAGTCATTTCCTATACAACCTTAGTTTGACCTTAGCCTGGTCATCTTTTTTTCAGATCATTACTGACTTCCATACACTAACAATAGTTTGTATTGTAATGCTTGCTAATGGGACTGGAGAAACAGTTGGAAGAATCCAAGTCTAAACCAGTTGTTCGATGAAAGAAATTTAAAATTGACAAAAAAACTTGGACCATCTCAGCTTTTAAAAAAAAAAAGTAACTTCTAGTTGCATTAAACATGCCAAATAATTTTCCTGGAACTGCTGAACTGATGTTGTGTACATCAAAACCTTATTAGTGTATTTTCTTTGCAGGAGGATCATGTGTTTTAGCCATTCTTCAAGTGCCCTAATTTGATAAAAGTAGTGTCTTCTAGGTTTCCTATAGGTTTCATGACATTTTAGAAAAAAAGTGTTGGGGTTTTTTAATACGTATTTTAAGTACTACTTTGGTATGATCCTCAGGTGTCTGACTGCTATTGAAATCAGCAGAAGCTAAAGCATATTAACACCATAAAGAAAAATATTATGTATATCTTAAATGATGTTTGTAACACATTTTTCTGTTGCTCAATTGTCATAATTGATGCAGACTTCTAAAACTGACATGATTTGACCTTACTTTTTCTTGTTTCCCAAAAGGGAGCAAGAGTAGAGGATACAGCAGCTTAACCATAACTTACAGTAAAAGTTAACATTAATTGAAGTGTTGCTTTAGCTAAGTCAGTAATCCAGAAAAAGCGATGGACATACAACAGACTGCACTACAACCACAATGCTTGCCAGCTTCTTCCTGTGGAAGGAGCAATGTTATTTCTAACATGACACTTGCACCAGCTTAAGATGGCATTCCAGGGTCACTATCCTAATTACACATTGCTGCCCATTTCTTCATTTTGACACAGTTACTTTCCTCTGCCCTCTTCATGAGCTGGTTCAGGGTACTAAACTGCAGGCTTTTTATCTGGCGGAGGAGTTCCTGACAATTTAGCATGTAGAACTATCTAGCTAAGGGCTCAAACCAGAACAGTTCAAGTGTAAAGGGAGGGGGTGAGATTGCTGGATGAACAGAAATACACCACGGATAGAGACAAGTATAAACTCCTGTAGAACCATATCCAAAGTAACATCCTGTGCCTACTAAGCCATGCATATACTACAGGCAGTTAATGCAAAACCAACTCCTGCCTTTGTCAGTTGAGTCCTCACTCCTAGAAAGGAGACTACAGATATAAAAAGCAGGAAATAATCATTCTGAGGCACTAATACTTGTGGTAACACCATCCCACTTGTATGTGCCCCACTAAGGCAGTGGGCAGAGAACATGGTGCAGTTTAGGATCTCTAGATTACACTTCCCTGCGTGAAGAAGTGCTCTGTGATCTACCTGCATAACAAGCCTTGACTGGAAAATGGGCTGGAGCTGGGACTGAAGAGCTAAAGAGTACCCATTGAATGAATGACCTTGTTCAGCTATCAACAATAATCCTATGCAGCGCTTTCACTTTTGCATTAACTACTAAAGGCTATTGAGGGTATTTCTTTAGAGCCTTCTCATGTGAAGTACAAATTTCTACCAAGTATATCTCCTGCAAGATATGCCTAGTTCATAATAAGGATGCCACTCTTAGATTGGACTGTACCACCTTGGGAAGTTTTTTCCAAGCTGCTTTCCCTGGTTCATAAGTATAGCTATTAGTAATCTATCTACTCTGCTAGAAGTAGTAAGACTTCTCATTGTAGGCAGACTTCTATTTTGACAGTCCTTTCCAGACAGGAAATGGAGTCTTAAACTCCCCATGTTTCACAAAATTCTGCTTTTCCCTGGCTCCTCAGAGCCCGCTGGAAAACAGAATTTAGAAATATAAGGCAATGAAAGTACAAGGCAGGGATATGCATCTATGAACCTTCATTCTGCCTTACGTGTAAAATCCATACTTTCGTTCACCTTGTTCTTCAAAAAGAAAAGCTAACTAGCTATTATCCCAAAATGTTAATAAAACGCAACGTTACTAGCAGTGACTTGTTATTCTTCTGGAATATTAAGCATGTACACACAGGTACACCCCTTCAAAAGACCAGGAAACAACACTTTATTAATCTAAATGCAGTGCAGTCATTCCAAATGGTTTGGCCGCCTCCTGCAAAGACGGGAGGAGACTGTCAGAACATGTTCTCTGTAAAAAATGAACCTGCATTTAGGGCAATCTTAATGAAAGCCATCCAGCTATGTCCATATTCAACTGTTGTCATCTGTTCCGTCCTCACAGATCACCCTAAAGCTGCCACTTACTAATGTTTTCAGTCACGTTCCAGAGACTCTGCTGGCAGGAACATCAACCTTGCTAGCCTTGCCTTGTAACATGTCATTTAAATACCTCGCTGCTAACAAGTCTCCACAGCCCAAAACAAGGTAGCCTGTGAATCCCAGTGGATGGTGAGCCAATTTACGTGGCTGTGACAACCTGCTTAAAACAGTCCCTGTGCTAGGCAGTACACTGTCAAATCTTAAGGAGCCAAAGCTTAACAAGAACACCGACGGACAAATGAGAAAGCGTATGTAACAAACACATCTAGTTACTCCTCTTATCTGCTATTATAGAACAATTCTAGATAAAATATGAATAGTACAATCCCATTTTACTGCCATTGTGCTGTACAGAACAGGGGTTTGGTTAGGCATAGAAAATAAGGACTGTAACTCCTGATTTAATGCATCCAGCTGGAACCACATGCAAACACCATGAAAAAGAACTAGACAGTCCTGATTGATAACTTGATTTTAACTTTGTGTTGAGATGGAATTTGGATAGGTCAATAGAAACACCTTATCTAAGAAACAAATTAAAAACAACAACAAAATAATTCCGTAAGTGTAATTGGGTCAATGGACTTGTTTTGCTGATTCTCTTGGCAGAAATGTGCGTAACTGGAAACAACTGACAGGCATTACTTGTTAGGGAATTTGAAAACAAGTACTATGAGGGTTGTAAGTAAGTAACCCATTCGCATCCCTCAGAGGGCTTTTAACAAATTACCTCCAGGAATTCAGCATTATTGCAAGACCATTTTAATCCTAAAATTTCCTATCCCTAGGGAGGAGACTTTCTTACACATGCAGTGTACAACAAGCTCTCTCGTTCATACTCTTGGCACAAGACCTTTGACATGGTCTGTTCATGTCCACAGCTGATTGCCGTCTCTATTCAGTGTCAGAATGGGTTAGGAGGCTGTGTTACAACCAGCTATGAGACCACCAAGATGAAACTGCCTTTGGCCATCAGAACACACACGACTGAAACGCATTCTGCCTTGGTGGCTTCACTGCAGTATCTCCAATCCTGACAAGTACAGTTTCGTTTATACCTTCACCAAGCGCAACAGCAAAGGCACTTAGAGCTGTTGGGGCATTTGATAGGATCAATCTGTAGCAAAAAGTTTCCATGAAGGACTCCAAAACTCTATTTCAGGTACCTGTGACTGCATACGGCTACTAGCCAGGGTCATCTGCAATGTGAATTGTCTTCAGAGAGAGGGAAAAGCTTCATAGAAATAACCACAGTTCTGAGCGTGAGGGAGTGCAAGGCTTGAGTGCGTCCACAGACACTGGGGTGTAATTTCTTCTTGAGTAAACAGGACACATCTACAGTATAAAATCAACTTGAGCTACTGGTACCTTCTCTTCTAAACTAAGGAATCCTAACTGCAAAGAGAATGCAAAGTTTAAGATTGTAAAAGGAAGAAAAAATTTAAGTAACTATCATAAATACAATTATGCTTTCTTCTAGATATGTCTGCAGGATTTTCATGGATAAACCAAGGGTTACTTTCAAGTTCCACACAAGCAGTTTCACATTTAGAGGTAGCAGGAGGCACTTCCGATGCTAAATCAAGGTAAATAAAATCATTTTTTATTCAAGGATAGTGATACATGCTTGTGGTACTTTCAGTAACCTCACTATTTTGTACCATTCACATGCAGGAAATGAGATGTTTTCTATTATGGTTGATTTTTGATTGTGAAAAAAAGTCTCTTATACTGTCTTCCTTGATAATTCTATTTGAAAGGTCAAATCAACACGCTTTGAATTTTGAACATACTAGTTATTTTGTATCTATGTTTCAAAAGACTAGAATCACTTCCAAGCCCTTATTCCGAGGACAGAGTTTTCCCGATGAACCTTAAATTCCTGCCTGGGCAGGGACTATAAATAGGTAATTACATGTGGAAAAAAGCCTGATAATACTTCTGAAGAATACAAAACACTGTTTGGTGTCTAAATGCACTACTGCTTAAGCTCTCATGAAAGAAGTTTAGTCCACACAGTCTAATCATAATTTTAAATCAAAAACCAATCAACCAACCAAAAAACAACCACCACCACCGCCAAAAACCTAATCCAAAAAACACCTCCACAACCATACTTTGCTTGGAGGTTACCTGTACGTTAAAAAATGGAAGGAGGGATTATTCTGGACCAGGTTCTTCCTCATGGCATTTAATAGCTTCATTTCATATTGCAAACATTTCTGTGTAGTGACAAAACTGTGATGGATTTATTCTTCTTTAAGCTTTCTTCGGCTTGAGCAATTCTACTAGTTGGTTATGAAAAAAAGCCACCTAATAATTTTTTTATGCGACTTTCCAATATTTTAGCAGTTTTCATAACTATTAGCTGTGTTAAACGTAAAGCTTTTGGATTTTTCCTTGTTAGTAGTATTTCTTTAACTAAAGGAGAAGCTGAGGCCAAAAAGAAAGCTTAAAACTTCATGAGAAGTCCTCTAAACTTCGACATTTCTGTTGTTTTGATAGCGAGAATCCAGGGTTGTGTTTGGATGCTGAAGTGGCCTTAGCAACTGGGCAGTTTCTTGCCCCTAGCAGTCAACAGTCCAGCAGTGCAACGTCACGCTACTCTGAATCACGGGGAGAAACTCCATGCTCATTCAATGATGAAGATGAAGAGGATGAAGATGAGGATTCTTCCTCCCCAGAATAAGGACAGTAGAAAACGGAATATACAAAATGCTGCTCATAAATATTCTTAATGGGAGCTCCTGTTTGGATTTTACTTAAGTTTCTTGCCTTGGTTTGCACTGTGTTCAGTGAAGCAAAATGGAAGCTTCAAGACAAATTCATCCACAGCTGAAATTGAAAACTTTTTGTAACTGAACACAGAGTGACATGCAGACACAGAGCAAAGTGTTTTTTATCAACTATAACCAAGGAAGAGAACAAAGCCCCTGGAGATTTGGCGAAGTAAACATCAAGTTCACATTTTCCATTTTGGGACATTCTGTCTCAAGTCTCTGTCTTCCCATTATCTTTACCAGATGGAGGAGAAAACAGAGTCAGTCAACAAATGCCAATTCTTGCATTGTCTTTTGGCTGTGCTACCTTTAGAAAAAGGGGGAGAGAGAGCACGCGCGAATGTGCTAAAATAGCTATTTAAAACTATCTTATATGAAAATTGTTCTAGGGAAAAGGGGCTGTTAGAATGTTTGCTTTTTTCTGCTCAACTTGCTGTATAGAAGATTCTTAAAGTAATATAAATTGCAAGTGATTAAATGAATCTTGAAATAGTTTAAATCCATTTTAGATACTCTAAAAGTAACGATAGTATGTCTCTTTTGAAAGGTTCATATGTTCATTTATATTGCAGACCTAATTTATTATAAATAAGTGATTATTCTTAGCCATTATGAAACAGGATAAAAACAGCAGTATTCTCTGCACCAGCTTTTTCCAAGGAAAGAAAGTTTAAAAATTGTATTTCTAGATTATAGTGTATCCAGTATAGCTTCTCCTTTACTCTTCTAACTTTATAATCCCTTTGATCTGATAGCATGTGTTGGGTTTTTTTTTAAAAAAGGCCTCTATGTTAAGGATCTCAGGCAGCATGTTTTCAAGGCAGTATTGTCAAATTCAGGTGGGCAGGTCACATAACTTTTAAAGTCATAGGTTGAGGTTCTTAGGAAAAAAATGAAATTTCAGCAATACATCATTTCATGTTTTGCATTCTAGTCAGCTTGGATTATGATAGACTAACTTTCTTAAAATGAACTTCTGTTGCACTCACCTTGATGCGCCTTTGAAAAATAGTAGTATCGAACCACTTCTTAAAATAATTTGTGGCTAAAATTACACAACATGAATCCCATTTGAACTGTTAAATTAGACTTGCAACAGGAGGCTCCGTGTTCTACAGTTAACATCACATCCGATCATAAAGACCTTTTTAAAAAAAAACAAACTTGAATAACAGAGCAAAATACACGGTAGACGTACTCTTCTCGTGGTGTTCTAACATCCAGTATTTTAACTAGTCTCGAAGTCAACTATTTTTAATTAGGTAAATCCGGTTTAAAATAGTGTTACTTCTTTTTAGTTTTTATACTGTATGTAAATAGTTGACCTGTTTCTAAGTACCAGTGTATTAGCTGTCAGAGCTCAACGACATTGGCTCTGTTATTTAGTTATGAGATTAGGCAGCTCGTAATACTGATACTTGCTTGAGCAATGGCAGCAAACTGTATCCCTTGACTGCTGTGACCATTACTCTAGCACAGCGTGGGGGATGTCCACATGATCTTTTACAGACAAACCTGCACTCAAGCCATTGAGATCCGAAAGCACCAAGCCTGAGCTAGTGAGATAAACTGCGGCTCCAGCTAAAAAGCTACCTGGCTGTTGTACAGGAGTTAGCACACGACTAGCTACATACAGGACAGGTAAAACTGCGAGGAGCGTACAAGCACACCTGCACGTTTGCATTAAAAACTAAAGCATCCAGATTGAACTATCTGTGAAAAGTTTCTAACTCACTCCTGCATTTGAGGTACAGTTAGGGCGGCACCATTATTGATAGGTATAGCTCTTGACTGAGCAAGTAGAGCTGTCTAGCTTACACAAATGAGTTGCGAATGCACAAATTAAAATAATTCTTATATGCCTACCATGTTACTCACCCTCTGGGCAAGACTGTTAAGCCTGTCCTGTGCTCATGGCTCACAGGCAACGGCAGACTGAGGAACCAGACCACCTCACTTCAACCAAATCTGTAACACTACCTCTATATGAAGAAAAGCTTTACAAATACAAAGTAATATTCTCGCTGAGAGAGTCAATGCACTTGATCGAAGTGGCTCACTTTTGAAATAAGAGGAGAAGGTAACAGATACTCCAGGCATATTACTATGGAATTGTCAGCTTCATGAATGACATTTCATTTAAACAGATAATTGCTTTTATTCTTAAAAACCCATTGTTTTTTCAAAACCTGTCCTGTCAGTCAGCTTTCATTGGAGAGGGCAGATCAAAGATACCTGATATATGCAGGACCCTAAGGAACTCTTACAGGGGAGAACATTTTCTGAAGTTTTTATTCCCCCCCCAATACGTTAGGGGCACGTTTAACTTTACACTTTCTTCACATTTCCCACTCAAGATCTGTGTAAAAAGAAAAACCAGCAAAACACTAAACAATTACTGAAGAGGAGTGCTTTGAACTATAATAACCTAGCAAAAAAAGGCTTCCTGCCCAGAAATGGAATGTATTTTATTAGCAGTCAGTGTGCTTTACAATACTTTACAGGAGGAAGCTCTTCAGTGGTATCTTCCTTCCATTGATGTCCATGTCCTTCAAAGCAGCAGACTGCACAGCTACTTGCTTTCTGGCAAACTCCAAGCTATCAACTTCAAAACAAAAATAAATAAATAAATCTAGGCACGCATAGCATTTATTTAGACAGTTGAACCAAGACTTTGAAAGTTATTTTTCCTGAACTATTTGAATACAAAGGACAAAACAAGTTAGAACATTAAGAAGAGACTTCAAAAGGAAATTCTTTCCTTCGGATTCTTTGTGCCAAGTTCCCGTTGAGGATGAAGTTCAACTAAAGCACTGTGGTCTTGTGGTTACACTGAAGTCTGGGACCTAGGAGAATTCTGGGCCTTATCCAGCCATAGTCACTCATGTATGATCTCAGGCAAGCCTTTCAATCATCATTCTTGTTGATCTTAGCTGACATATTTGAAAAAAAAAGACAAACCACAAAACAAAAACAGGTCAATGCAGGACCTCACAAACTGCAGCTGTTCCATCTGAATTGAGCTCCGAGCAATTATGAGTAACAGGGGGACTGAGAATATTAAGCAACCACACAGCTCCCACTGGGCTAATGGCAGTAGTTGTGCTCAGTTGCTTCAACATGCAGGCCTTCCCTCCCTCTGAAAGCCAGCAGCAGATACTTTCCAGAATAAAATGGTCATTCGCAAGACTGGTTTTCCCATTTTCTATTCAGTTACCATCATCCTCTCCTGTCTCCTGCAATATCCTTGCCACTCATTGATATGAAACAAGTAGCGACTGGTACTAGATGGTATCTCTTAGAAGGCAAAGTTAACCTTTAAATTTTCATGCGTGACATGTTTCTGTGTCTTGGAACACTATTTCTTGGTTATACATTCAGAAGGCACTTGGCTGCAAGCAATAGAATGCTGTGTGTAAATGCTTTTATATATATTGCAGTAAACGGCTTTATTTCTGGACTTACTTTATGGTGCTTGAAAAATCTAAGTTTGACTTAGAAAAACTTGTCAGCACCACAAACTAGATGAAAAAATATGAGTGGGAGACAGCTTTTTTCTATTATGTGGGAATGTTTGTGGATTTTGGTTTTTAAAATTGTATTAAAGTGTGCCAGTCTTCTCATTTCAACACCGGAATTAATGGCAACAATCCACCTAATCTAAGAAAGTGTTTGTATATTTAAGTAAAGACTAAAGCAAAAGATAGCATTTTAACTGAAGGTATGATTTTAACTAACTTCGTTAAACCTAGTACAAGCCACGCTGTAGGTATTTCCATTTTGGTTAAGGGTTTTTTTATGAACTATAGCTTGCAAATACACCTGATCCTTTCGAGCTGCTGGAAATAGCTGAGTACACAGAATACCCACAGAAGGAATTGTGCTGATCAACTAAGGCAGCCTGAAGTAACATCATGTAAAAAGGCCCAATAACCAAATTTTAATCCTTTTTTTTTTTTCCCCATACGTAAAATGATGCTTGAATTTTGAATTCCACAATTAAGGTTTTAAATGTCAAGTGCTCGCTCTTCTGACCACATCCACCATTTTAATTCAAGAGCATGGCTGAAACTTAAGCACATTTGAACAGTGGGCAATACTCATTTTTATAATTAACTGGCTCTTTTCAGCTGAAAATAATCCAGGCAGTTTATTGAGAAGACTTTCCTTTTAGTGAGTTAAATACATTTGGGTTTTGGCTTCATTTAAAATGAACTAGTATGTAGTAAACAAACCAGAACCAGTTATCTTCTGACTGACCCACCTAATTTATATCTTTTCATTACAAGAGTCCCTCAGGAACATACGTACTTTAAATAACCAGATATAATGAAGCTGGGAAAAGACTATACGAGCTTTTAAAATTTTCGATTTAAAAAAATTCCAGTAATAGTCATGCTTTGAGGTGACATCCTTCTGCTTACTGCAAGCTTAATTAATCTTAAAGAAAGAAACACTGCAGTTCAGTTACTCCAAGGCCTGGTATATTTTACAGCTGAAGGCATCTTAACCATCAGCACTGGGAAACGGTGCCTACTGCGGCATTACTGATGAACGAGGAGCAGGCTAAGGACCCTTGGTCTGTTCATTGAGTTGGTTTTGTTTTTTAAAATACTTTAACGGCTCTAAATGCTTAATTGCCTGCTGGCAGGTGTTCACATAACCAAATCCTGGTACCATGAAATTTCCTGAAACTCTCATTCCTTAGCCTTAACCAAGTTCCCAAATCAGATTATCTCTTTCCCAGTTAGCTGTCAGAATTTAGTCTGGTGACTGTTGTTAGGAGGCTGTGAGTGACTGTTCTCCCCTGAACCCAAGTATATTGCCAAAAAAAGCCCCACAACCAGCGTTACTCCCAATTGTTCATTCCCCCTGCTAAGTACTACCATCCTTTCAAGTCACTGTAGAGCTGCTCATACAGGTACTTCCTAGCTCGTTCAATCTAATGCCCCGAGTTGGCATCTGTGGATTCCTAACCCAGTTAGGTGCGGGAATGCTCATAAAAGCAGTCCGACCGTAATAACGAGGGGCTGTTCATCGCAGCTGTTTAGAGAGTGCATATTCATTCTGCATCTCTTAATACTCCTACCTTGTCTGGCCTACCCCAAAGATCAGCCAAAACCAAAATGTTTTCTTTCTGCTTGCATCTTTTTGACAGTACCCAAGAATCCAGCATTTAGGATATCCAACATTTAGGATATCCACCTGAACTGCAGGACACCAAAAATCCTTGCTCAGAATTGGACAGAAGAAACATCTGAGATCTAACCGTTCAAATCCCAGGAGAAAGCCTCCCGCTTGGGAACGATATGGAGCGAATGAATAACTTAATTTTTCCTTTCTCCATGAGAAAAGCAGGCTGACCTGGAGCAGATCAGTATCTGTAGGAGGGCCGGGATAATTCCAAGCAGGTACTGGAACCTCCCGGTAGCCCAGACTTGCATCTCTTCTTAGTATTGTGTATTGGCTGGACTAAGCGGCAACCCTTTAATCTTCTGACTTCTCTAAATGCCATTCTTAAATACTTAACGCTCTCCAGGCGTAGGTGCTTTAGCTATATGAACGCCATGGGATAGCAGGAAAGAGCCATGTAAAATGTAAATCCAGTTGTAGATGTAAATCACACTCATCTATGCAGTATATAGGAAACATTTTTCCAAGACCAAATGAGTCTTTAACAGCGACTTCTTTTTAGCCTATTCCCATTATGCAGGCTGAGTGAAACAGAGAAGTGAATCCTTAGCACTGTCTGGTTCCTGTACCTTCCACGAAGCAGCAATGGCACACCCGTAGGACCAAGGCAGGCAAAGAAGAAAAAAAACCCACCACCACGTATCCATAGCCCTTCCCATTGAAATTTTTAGGTCACATACATACACTTATTCTGAACAGCCACAAAAAAGTTAAAACATTGACCAGAAAAGGTTAAGTCCACACAATCAGTTTCCTGTTTTTTTGGTGGGTTTGTTAAATCTCTAACATAACTTTTAACAACTAGAAGATTTGGTTGCGCTAGCGCAGGAATTAAGTGGATCTCCCAGAATTTCCCTGGGAAAACAGCTGAACCGCAACCCATCACACAAGTTTCTGGCACGTTCCCTTGTCTCTAAAGCCAGGCCGTACGTATGAAAAACACTTCAGAGAAGTGTATGCAAATGTCATGACGCTGTCTCTCACAAGCACCTACTGTGAAAAAATTAATCCTACTTTGAGCAAACCTGTAAGAACCAGGGTATGCGTTCATCCTCATTCCCCAGGTCCTGACTGCAGAGACTGCCCTGGGACCAAGGCACCCACCTTTGCATTTGCGTAACGAGCCAGCAAGCACAGGCACGGTTTTTACAACAGTACACGTCTGCTGGCATGTCCGAGATGATCAATCCCTTGGCAACGAGGGAATGCTGGCGCACACATCAACCGATGTTACGGAGCTGCTGCAACGTGCAGTACCTGATAGAAAAGGCAGGCCCAGCCGTCCCCCCGACCGTAGCACTTTTTGATATATCTACTATATTCTACATGGAAGTACGTTGTAGAGACACTTCCTTTTTTATGTTTAAAATGCAGAACCACTGGAACCGTCCATTAACTTTTAAATGAAATAAGACTTCCCCCCTCCCCCCCCGCACCCGCGCGTCCAAGACGT